TGTATTTCACTGTACATAAATTATATTTCAATAAGATGCATTAAAAAAAAAGAAAAGAAAGAATGTGAGATTAAATTATTAGGATATATTCTTAAAAGACAGGTATTTTTCCCAATAAATATTTTCTCTGAAAGGAATCTCCCAAGGGCTTGTTGTTGTTGTTATGTGCCGTCGAGTTGGCCCCGACTCATAGGGACCCCTCCTTAGGTTTCCGTGGCAGTATCATTAGGGAAGTAGATTGCCCCATCTTCCTTCCGAGGAGTGGCTGGTGGGTTTGAACCACCAGCCTTCTGGTTAGCAGTCAAGTTTCTTAGGCAATATGCTACCAGAGCTCCCCCAAGGGCTTAGTACCAACAAATATGAAAAAAAGATGATGACTAGATGCTCTGCTAATAATGAGGGAAAAACAATTCATTCAGTTAATGCACATTCTTCAGTTAAGGTAAAGATTCTTCTTACAATATGAATTCCCGTTTATTACTTGTTACTTATTAAATAGCAGCAAATTCTAGTCATTCTTTATTCCATGTCTTTTAAATGACCTTTTGCTTCCTTCACGTATGCAAATGTCATCCTATAACTTGCCTGGTCTTCAGTCACTAGTGTTCAGTCACTAGTGTTCAATGTATCAAATCTATTCTTGAGATGGTGCTTAAATTCAGGTAGGACATACTCAAAGTCATATTTTGCCTCATGAACTTGTTTTAATTTACTTCAGCTTCAATTTGACCTTGCATATGAGCAATTAATGGTGAGTTCCACTGTCCGCCCCTAGCCTTTTTCTGGTTGATGACATTGAGCTTCTCTATCGCCTCTTTGCACAGATGTAGTCAATTTGATTCCTGTGTATTTCCCCTGACAAAGTCTACATGTATAGTCACTGCTTATGCTGTTGAAGAAAGGTATTTGCAACAAATAAGCCATTGGTCTTGCAAAATTCTATCAGGCAATCTCCTGTGTCATTTCTATCACCAAGGCCATATTTTCCATCTACTGATGCTTGTTTCCAGTTTTTGCATTCCAATCAAAAGTAATTATCAAAACATCTTAAATGCATGTTTGATCAATTTCCAGCTGCAGAAATTGGTAAAACTTTTCAATTTCTTCATCGTTGGCTTCAGTGGTTGGTGTGTAAATTTGAGTAACAGTTATACTAACTGGTCTCCTTTCCATGCACATGGATAGTATCATATCACTCAAAGTGCTGTTCTTGTTGATGATGAACACGGCACTGGTCCTCTTCAATTTCTCATTGTCGGTATAGTAGATCACACGATCGTCCAATTTAAATGGCCAATACCAGTCCATTTCAGCTCACTAATTCCTGGGATATCTATAGTCAAGTGTTTCATTTCATTTTTGACAATTCTAATTTTCCTAAATTCGTACTTCATACTTTCTACATTCTGATTATCAAGGGATGTTTGTACCTCTTCTCATTTTGAGCCATGCCACATCAACAAATGAAGGTCCTTTACTCCATCCACATCATTAAGGTTGACTCTACAACAACAACAACTATTCTGAGACAGCCGCTCTGCCCCAGTCATATTTTGAATGCCTTCCAACCTAAAAGGGTCTTCTTCTGGCACTATATCAGACAGTACTCTATTGCTATTCCTAAGGTTTGTAGAGGCCATTTTTTTCAGAAGCAGACCACCATTTCCTTCCTCCCAATCTGTCTTAGTCTGGAAGCTCTGCTGAAACCTATCCACCATGGTTGATTCTGCTGGTGGCTTAATTCCAGTGGCATAGTTTCCAGCCTCACAGCAACATACAAGCCACCACAGTATGACAAACTGAAAGACGAGTGGTGGCTTGTAATATAAGCAACCAGAATAATAGAAGAGTCCCAAAATAAGCTCATATTTTATCTTCTTCATAATTCCATAAACATCAGTCGGTATTTCTTCCTTTCTGGACTGTGCTTCAGTCCAAACCAGAGGTTTTTAGTAAAGTAGAAATTCTCATTTTCACAGCTGGAAGATGTCACTGCTAACGACCATATTCCTGTTGTTAATATAGGACAGGGTGCATCCTGTCAGCCTCTTCCAGTCTTCACTTCTCTGAATATTTCTTAATTTACAACATCAATTAGTAAACTATCAAGAACTTTCTCCCTCTCCATTGCCATCCCTCCATTGTACTTCTGATGTTATTGAAATTCCTTTGGTATGCCCAGTCTAGTTTTAGGACACTGGTTGGGCAATTATCAGCTCTAACTCCATCATCACCAAACCTTTGTGTCTTTCACTTCTGCCTCCCTTTCTGAATCCACTCTCTTTCTCATTGAAGAAATGACCTACCCTTTAGAGAAGTCAATAGGAAAGAGAGAAAAAAATAAAAGAATATTAACATCAAAAATAAATCAGATTTGTTGATATATTCAAGACCTCTATTTAACCTACAGAGTTGGAGATATCTAGTAACGTGTGTTTCCATGAATATATTTTGTAGCAGATTCATGAAGAAAAGTCTTAGGGATCAACAATATTACTTTAAATATCTTTATGTGAGAAGCTAATGCCCTGGTATATCACTTAGATAAACAGATAACTCTCCCACAAATGTCATTGAATATTGTAATATTTGGGCAAGAAATGTAAAATTATGGGAAGAATAGAATTAACAGTGTAGGAGGCTGATGGGGGCAAAAACATTGCCAAAAGATCTATAGATATTAGGCGTTTTTTTTCTCCCTCTTCCATACATTTTCTTCTAAATTTGGAAGTTTTGAATTTTCTGAGATGAAAGTAGTCTTGTTTTTGAAGGCAAAAACTAATTTAATCTCTAGTACACATTGATCTTTATTACCACAGCCAATAAATTATTCTTCCTTCTGGTAGCTAAAATATTTTAGTTATAAAGGACCTCCTCAAGAGTAGCTTACTAGACTTCCTTCAAAGTAGAATATGTTTAGCAAAGAAAATGTCTGTTGTAAGTAAATTCTGTAAAGTGTTTTCTGCTCAGTAAGAACTGTCAATAACAGTCAATGCAACCAATGCCACAAATATAAATGTTTTGATTTAAAGTTCATGACCATTTCTTAAAGTTTCCAATAAGTAGGGAAGTGAAAGCTGTGAAATTTATTTCATCGGAATGTGAGAAAAATCGTAAGTTACTTTATTTGGAAATGTTTAGTAGGTTCAAGAACAGGATGATAAGCCAATAATCTTCAAATGGGGTTTTACCTTATTCAAATGAGGAAAGTGAGGCCCATAGAAGTTACACGCATTTTATTTATTAACACACTAAATTCTTTTTCCAATTTTGTAATCAGG